TATATGCATGTATTTCACAGTGTATAAATACTTCTCTATTCTCTTTGACTATTATTGTCTCCAGTGATCAGACGTGAAGGAGATTCAGTCGAGATCAAATGCCCTTATGATAAAAACCACACAAAAGAAAAAACGTGTCTGCGGAATGGAAAGTGTTTGACTCCAGATGCTCAAAATATCATTCGGTCAGATGAAGATTATGTTAAAAACCAAAGATTTCAGTAAAGGACGACACTGCACTCAATCTCTTCACTGTGACCATGACTGAGCTGAGAGCAGAGGATGCTGGGAAATACTGGTGTGCAGTGAAAGATGCGTTTAACCTTCCCATTGAGCTCATGATCATCACGAAGGACGGTGAGGATGTTTATTTGGGAATAATCTCAATGTTTCTGCTCCTTCTGTAATCAAACTCATCATATTTAATGTTGTGCTCTTCAGCGGTCACTCATGAAGCGTCTGTCGGAGGATCAGCGTCCATCAGCTGTAAACACATCAGGAATCAAGCACAGGGGTTGTTCTGCAGAGGAGATCAGCTGAATATCTGCGTCAGAGACGGAGTTCATGTTTCATCAAATAACAGAACAAACGGCAGATTCTCTCTGACTGAAGAAACCTCTGCTGGAGTCTTTACTGTGAAGATCAGCAATCTGAGAGCAGAGGATTCTGGGAAATACTGGTGTGCAGAGGAGAGTTCTGGGTCCTTCATATTCACTGAAGTTCAGCTACACGTGACCGGAGGTAAAACACTCTTTCATTAAAGGGATAGTGTGACCAGAAATGTAATTAATAAATCTACTTTTTTTTTTTTACTAAAAACCTTGTAACTAATTACTTGCCAATACTGAGCAACAGAATACACTGCTTAAAAAATTCATAATTTTTTCCTTCAGATGAGCACAAAAGATGATATTGTGTGTGTGTGTTTTTTTAATGCAATCCAGTGAAAGTCAATGGGGTCCAATGCTGTTTGATTACCAACATTCGTCAAAATATATTTTGTGTGCCACAAAATAATAAGGCTCAGTTAATGATGACAGAACACCAAAAAATGTCCAAGAAATCCTTTTTCATTTTGCTAATTTTTTGGTGTGCTGTCCCTTTAAAGCAGCATGCTGTAGTAAATTCTGCAGCTTCAGTCTGATGTGTGATAACAAGAGTCATTTCCACTTCAGCGTTAAACCACAAACAGGAAGCAATCAACCAGAAGCAGTCTTTGCTATGTTTCACCTGTTTAACTTGAAATGGGCCTTGCAACAGAAGGGGCACTCAGATCCCCTCCCCAGGGTCAGAAATGTACAGGAGCTTAAGGCAAAAAAGTTGAAATCGCATGATGAAACATGATGCATAATGAGCTATGCTTAGCCTCAAATGCCTGATACAGTCTAGTGCACTTATGTCCTGGCTGAGACTGCTAGTGTGGGTATTCGGACAGGCCCACTGTCACTTGCTTTGTCCCTAAATATTTCAGCCATTTTGAACAAATCATTTGATGAAGCCATTCAATGACTCACTAAGACAATGATTTGCCCTACACCTACCAGCAGTTTTAGTGGCATTTAATTTTAGCCGAGGGGTTGAGAGAGTTTTTATTCTCGGATGCGATTGTAACAATAGTTCTGGAAATGCATTATAATAATGGATTATATAAATAATCTATTAAGTGTGAAAAAATTATATAACATTGTTAAATATAACAGGGACAATAGTAATTACTTTTACTAGTAATTTAGTCAAAGTAATTGCAGTCGCACTATGCACAATGTTTTTGACAATCCCTTTGTGTGATTTCAGGCTTTTCTGTGACAGCTGCGGTTTCTGTGGGTTTGATTCTGCTGGCTGTGTGTTTAGTGCTGGTGTTGTTCAAAATAAAACACTGCAGCAAACATGGTGAGACACAGAAACACACTACTGAACATTTAATAAACCTGAGTTTCTCTGCTGGTCAGAAATACACATGGCTAAAATCATCTCCCATTTTCTTTCTCTTGTTCGCACGCAGACTTCGTCTCATCAGACAGAAGAGAGACAGGAGATCATGAAGCTGTGAGTTTCAGAACAGATCTGTGCTTAGACATGGGAGATAAGTTGGTATGCTGTAGCTTTTAACTAAGAGTTTATGTTTGGGGTGTTTTGCTTTTTGCAGGCTCAAGAAGAGATTCAAGTCTCAGATCCTGAATCAACTCATCTTTACGCCACAGTACGGTCATCCACATCCCCCTCTGATGGGCTCCTGTACGCTGCTGTCCGTTTCCAGAAGCATGAAGAGTCTCCCAGTGACGCTACAGTCAGAATCAGTAAAGAGGAGACTCACTGTGAATATGCATCTGTCAATCACAGTATCACACCAAAAAAATATTAGCACTGAATTTTTAGTTTTTATTCACAACTAGAACCAGTCTCTGAGAATAATGACTTGTGACAATGATTCAGTTTCATTGAGCAAGTTATTGAGCAGTCAGCGACATCTACAGGTGACTTCTTGGGAAAGAAGCTGAAATGTTTCTCTGTGACTGAAGGAAACACTGAATTCTATGTGAAATGCTAACTGAAGACATTACTTTTTTTTTTCCCTTTCATAAAAGCGTCTTTAATCTTTGGAAGCATCGGTTTGCCAGAAGAGAAGCATTAGGTTATGAACATTAAGCCAATCTGTGATGAGTGCAGGTGTGCAAGAAAATATTTGTAATGACAAATAATTGATGTTTATCATTATAATACATGTATGTAATATGTAATATGTACATAT